TCTCTCTGCTTGCTGTTTTTGTTTTTGTTGCCATTGTCCCTCATCATACCCATGCTTGGGTGGAGGGCGGCATGACCCGTTAGGGTAGCTGTCAATACAGTACGCAATCGTCGACGACGTCATTGCGGAGCGGCTTCCTGGTGGCAGTGCTGACTTCTCTCGAGCTCTCTCTTCTACTCTCCCCTGTCTCAGGGGCGGCGTGGCCAAGCATTTGGCAGCTGTATACCAGGCCAGGTGTGTGTGTGTGTGTGTGTGTGTGTGTGTGTGTGTGTGTGAGAGCGTGTGCGTGCGTGCGTGCATGCGTGCGTGTGTGTGTGTGTGTGTGCTCACATGTGTGCACATACGTGTTGGCATGTTACATGTGTGGGTCGAATTGCTAGTGTGTCATTGACAGCAAGACAATCAGCACTCACCTGTTAGTTGTTGTTGACTGGAAGCTGGAGCAGAATTGTCTCAGGAATGATTGACGTCAGAGAGATTGGGTAATTGTCACTGAAATGAGTTGACAGAGAATCTTAGTTTAGACCAACATTTCATTTCCATCAATTTGTTACTAATTAGGATTATACCAGCCCTGACTACCTATACCAATTTACCTATAAAGGTAAATTGGTATTGCTTGGGGCAAGTAGGGTCCAGAAGAAGGACAATTTGAAATCGGTTCGAATGGCATATCTCTCGCTTGTATACGATAAACCAAACTTGCCAAATCGCCAATTGTATGATCACGTTGCCATAGCGACCAGCGCAGTGATGACGCACGTTCTGCTTAGCTCCGTGAGAGAGAAGGTCGATCACCGCAGAATTTGGTCATTTTCAATTGTCTTATTGTATTCAAGATTTGAAAGAAGTGCTGTGTTCAATGCTGTTAGTGCCGTGAACTGTTTATCGGCCTTCTCCAATGACTGTAGCCTAGGAAATGGTTTCTCTTGGTATTCGCCATCTCTCCTGAGAAATCTTGAGCAAACTTTCAAAAAAGTACGACATTATTTCGTTCGTCAATCTCCACCATCCGTCGTCTCACCTGGCTCCAGAAGATGTTACGGGAGATAGGGGAGTCGCCAGCAAGCATCACATCCATCTTCAGGAAGTGGAAAGAGCAAACGGCATGGTCCTTGGTTGAGGTGAATGCCGCAGTGAACGTCTGATTCGTCCCAACCAAGATTTCAGCACTTTGTTCATCACTATTTTTGCTTGTCTGCTGATGTCTCCGCACTCCAGCTTTCTCCTGTCGGTGTCACGTCCCAGTACATAACAGAGAGGACTACTAAGGCGAGACCAAAAAATAGAAATTCCCGGGCCCTCCCGCACCAAAATCGAGCTTAAGTCAATTTTTTGAACAGTTCATGTACAGTACTGATCAGGGAGTAGTAAAATACAGGGAGGTGACACGAGCATGTACGGCCAGTTTGACGATTGCCTCAGCACCGTTTTCACTCGGCGGGTGAGGTTGGGGTACTATGGGTACCGAAGTGTGTAGACACGCGCGCGGATCAGGATTCTCTCGATCAGGGAGTAGTAAAATACCTACCGCCAAAGAGACTCCTACTGCAGCCCGTAGAAACTCAGCGCTGAGAATTTCCAACAATTGTCTGCCTTCACAAATTTTGGTAGTCGACCAAACTACCACTATGTCAGGATAGAAGTCCAGCAAGAGTGGTATCACTTTGGGAGATATCCCTGCGTGCCGTAGAATTTTCCTGTGTCGATACAAGCTGTTTACGACGACGTAGCCCGCATTTCAATCCTTGACAAACTTAGGAACATTTCATTCCGAAAAGTGAACTCCCGAATCTCTAGCATACTGTAGAGGCAGAAAATTTCGTCGGTCAATAATTTCGTCCAACTCCAAAGAAAAGGAGTTCGTCCGGTTGAAAATTTCGTCCATGGGTCATAAGAGTGTATAGAAACGCTGGACAAATCGATATTCGTCCTACATTTAATTTAGTCCAAAAGCTCCTTGGACGAAAAAGACGAAATTAAATTCCAGACGAATATTTCTGCTTATACAGTACCATAATATGAAATGCTCATCATCACAAAGAAGGTAGAGAAGTACTGGTTGATCACAACTGAGGAGAAATTAGTGCCGATCGTGTGGTGTCCTAGAGATTTTTCGACTTCGAAATTGGTGCACTCGCTTTTCATCTCCAATCGTACACGTATTGTTCTCAAGGAAATCACCTTCGTTCTATTGCTCCATGCCGTCGATCGGGATGAATTTCGGAAGGGTGGTACCTTTCCATATGCCGATGACACAGATGTATCACAAGAGCAAAACAAATGCTGTTCCATGAGATGGATAGACCTTTTCACGGAATTAGTTCTTCGACGAATACTCAAGATTGATTCAGCAGATCATCTTTTTTTGCGAAAGAAAAAAAACAAGCGCGAGGCACCCATCAAAAATCACGATTAGTGGCGTGTCACCTCCCTGTATTTTACTACTCCCTGGTACTGATCATGGCAGTAGATCTGTGACAGGGAGTGACACAAACCCGGGCTTGTACAACTCCATGATGTGCAGACCTTCGTGTAAGAAAAATCCAGGAGTGAACAATCACTCTCGCTATCCTCTCAAGGAGAGTGGTGGGAGAGCAGTCCCCCCCCACCCCCTAAATTGCTCGCCTTATCTATCCAAGGCGTGCACAAGACGGGTTTTTTCAACATCTTGCCATACTCCTATCGGATTGGCAATAGCTGCCAAATTCGATCTGGAAATCGCCGTACTCACTACATTTTGTGCACGCGCACATGTTGTCCAGGTGTCAGGGGCCCAGCCTCCCTGCCCATCCGACACGCCACACACAACAACGAAACTGAACTGAGAGTTCTACATAATTTCTTGACAAGACGGAGACGGACACACAAGAAGACCGGACACGACGAGGTAAACTGATAACTGAAGAAAAAGACTAAACATTTATGGCAGCATACGAGCATGCGCGCAACAAAACACAACGTATGACAATGACGTAACCGTTACTTGGATCATGTACAAACTATACATGCAACCAAAACAAGTCAAAGCAGAACGCAAAACAAACCAAAATAAACGAAAGGACCACAACAAAAAGAGCCATGAAAAGTCTTTCTACCGATACACAACATATTCCCCACCAAAGACCTTTTCAGGGTTCTACGAGGACTGCGAACACTGTGCCCTACGAGTATACGCCGCAAGCGTACTAATCAAACTAACTACAAGAGGCAACAAATAAACAAATAAACGATCGACACGCCAACAAAACTCCAACGAAAGGCAACGTCCGACCAGGGACAAACAAATCAAACTCAAACAAATAGAGCAAAACAAACTAATCAAACAACTCGAGCAAACCGAACTACCAAATTCGAACTACCAAACAAACTCGAGCAAAACAAACTAATCAACAACTCGAGCAAACCGAACTACCAAACTCGAGCAAACCAAACCACTCAAACAAATCGAATCAAACTAATCAACAAATCACAGCAGGAGCACCTTCCAAACTCCACGTCACACTCACATGGGGTTATTTGTTCACGATGCGTTTTCCTTCGCACCGTCCTTGTCGTAGGAACCAGCCACTCCTCGCAGACGTTTATCCGTCTTCGTCTGCCCTCAGCGCATTCAGCTCCAACGACTTCCGTCGCACCAACCTCGTCGTCTTCACCAGCCACCTCGCGGGACGTCCCTGCCCTCAGCGCATTCAACTCCGACGGACCAGCCACTCCTCGCAGATGTTCATCCATTTCATCTGCCCTCAGCGCATTCAGCTCCGACGAGCCAGCCACTCCTCGCAGACGTTTCCTCGCTCAGCGCCTTCAGCTCAGACGACGTCGTTTTGGTGATTTGTTCTCGATGCGTTTTCCTTCGCACCGGAGTTCCTGCCAGTTCCTCGTCTCCCTGACTATCCTGGCGTGGTCGCCAAATTTTGTGCACGCGCACATGTTGTCCAGGTGTCAGGGGCCCAGCCTCCCTGCCCATCCGACACGCCACACACAACAACGAAACTGAACTGAGAGTTCTACATAATTTCTTGACAAGACGGAGACGGACACACAAGAAGACCGGACACGACGAGGTAAACTGATAACTGAAGAAAAAGACTAAACATTTATGGCAGCATACGAGCATGCGCGCAACAAAACACAACGTATGACAATGACGTAACCGTTACTTGGATCATGTACAAACTATACATGCAACCAAAACAAGTCAAAGCAGAACGCAAAACAAACCAAAATAAACGAAAGGACCACAACAAAAAGAGCCATGAAAAGTCTTTCTACCGATACACAACACTACAAATGGAAGCTGTTCGGACCACAAATTTCGTTTCCCTTCATCAATTTTAACAATAAATCTCAAGCATTCTGGAAAGCCATTGGCAAGAGGAACACACCAGTGGGATTTTCGTCAGATGGAGTGTTACTGCAGTGGCAATAGCCTAGGGAGCTGGGAAGACACGCGCAACGGAAAATTGAGACAATTCGCTAAGATCCATGTTTTTTTTGTAGCATTCATCGTAGAGCGCTTCTTTCTTTTGTAGCTAACCACCAGGGAGTCGTACTCAAACTAGTTTGAGTACGACTCCCTGCTAACCACTAAAGACCTGTGCCTGACGTCACACAGTTCTAGGCATGCCCAGACGTCACGCACGCAACATGTGGAAATCCTTTATGTCAAAATAATAATAATGATTGCCACCCAAGTGCGGAAGTGAAAATTTGCAACGAGACGTAAAATACCTTGCGAGTGCTGTAACTCCACTATTCGACCTCGGATCGACTTCAGATTTGTTGGGGCCGACAGCTGAGAACTTTCTAATGCGAATAGACTTTTCGATTACTCAATTCCGTTCAGGGAAAGCTGAGTTACGAAATATTTGAGTGTTTGCAGAATGGTCTTCATACCCGGTTCATAGTGATGCGGATGCGCTCGAAATTCTCAAGGCGCGCGACGAAAAGTGCGCCCAAAATGAAAATAGGGAGAGCGAAGGCGCGCGAGAGCGATCGCTCTCCTTAAACCAGATGGTCTGATGTGCATCCCAGGGTCGGTGTTGGCCGAAATACAATAATTGTACTGGTAAACTGCATACATGTTGTCTGTAAAAAATTCAATAAAAATTATCGGAAACACTGTAAAAAAAGGGTTCAGCATGCAATGCATACATACATAGTAAAAAGCAGTTCACGGCACCAACAGCATTGAACACAGCCCTTCTTTCACTTCGTGAATACAATAAACCAATTGAAACGACCAAATTCTGCAGTGATTGACTTTCTCTCTCACGGAGCTAAGCAGAGCGTGTGTCATAACTGCGCTGGTCGCTTTGGCAATGTCAGCATACAATAGGTCGTCGACGTCTGACGTCACTGCTTTTTGACAACGCGTAGGTACTTGGCCAAGTGGTGACAAACAAAAGCCGTGTCACCTGCACTTGTCGTGTTTCCAGTGGCAACAGCATACAGTGAGGAGCGCGCGAACAAAATTAATTATTTCAAAT